AAGACCCCCAAACCTCTTCATTGCAAATGGAGGCAACTCAAGTAAGGCCTTCTACTGGAGACAGAGAAACAGGTCTGTCCCCAGAAAAGAGAGGCTTTTCACTTGTTGGTTACATTCTGCTACTTCACAGCCTGGTTCACAGAAGCCACACATGCTTCCAGGCTTCCTGACTACCTTTTACCAGACCTCCATCTCCATGTTGTCTGTACCCTTCTGTGGGGAAGTTTTTCAACTCTGCAGGTGCGGAATGGTTAAATGACCTAACCAGGAACACAGCCTGTCAGTAAATGCATCGGAACTCCATTCTGGGCCTTCAATACCTCCTGTGACACTTTCCACTTCACAGTGTATTTATCTTTTACCAAGGGAGTCTTGTATCCTCTGCTAGATCAAAGGCCCTGGGAGGGCAAAGAGACATCTCATTTCTTTACTTCATTGATTCTGCTCTATTCACTAATCACTGATATAGATATAATCTTGCATGGTATATGTAAATGCACTGTAGCAAAGACTAATTTTTCCTACCAGATCCTCAACACTCAAGTATCTCGAAAGCTTATATTTTCCTTCCCTTTGTTGGATTCTGTCACTGGACTCAGTGCATCTGTACAGAACTTCTGAGTACAGGCAGTCTGAAAGGGCAAAATAAAAGAGCCAATCGGTGGATAATGGACTGGGAAAGTGCCTAGAGAGCACTACTCCTAAAGCCAGCTGCAAGGAGGTGAGATGGGGTGGGTGGAAGCCTCCCTGAGAGCTGGACTTGCTCTGAGGCAAGCCCATGCAGATGGCTCCTCCTGGTTGGGGAAGATGGAAGGAACAGTGAAGGTCCTGCTTTCTACTTTTGTTCTGTCTTGCCAGTGACCATCCCAAGACTCCTGTTCCCTGAAAACCTGGCACTCACTGTAGAATATAAAGCGAGGCACCTACAGCCTGGCTGGTGTAGCTCAATGGTTGAGCGATGACCCATACACCAAGAGGTTGCTGGTTCGATTCTGGGTCAGGGCACATGCCCAGGTTATGGGCCAAATTCCCAGGGGGTGGGGGGGCATGTAGGATGCAGCCAATCAATGTTCTCTTTCACCGATGTTTTTGTTTTTTTAACTTTATTGTTGAATGTATTACAGATGTTCCTCATTTTTCCCCCATTGACCCCCTCCTCCCCACTCCCACCCCCCTCCTGCCTTTCCCCACACTGTTATCTGTGTCCATTGGTTATGCATATACATATGAGTTCTTTGGTTTATTTCTTCCCATCCCCCAAACCCCCTTCCCTTTCAGGTTTGTCATTCTAGCAATCAATTTGTACTTCTTAATCCCCTCACCTTTTTCACTCATTCCCCCAACCCTCCTCCCATCTGGCAACCAACAAAATGTTCTCTGTATCTATGAGAATGTTTCTGTTCTGCTTGTTTATTTTGTTTGTAGATTCAATTGTTGATAGATATGTATTCATTGCCATTTTGTTTGTTCATATTTTTTATCTTTTTCTTCAAGAAGACCCTTCAACATTTAATATAATAATGGTTTGGTGGTGATGAACTTCTTTAGCTTTTCCTTGTCTGGGAAACTCTTCATATGGCCATCGATTCTAAATGACAGCTTTGCAGGATAGAGTAATCTTGGTTGTAGGTTCTTGCTTTTCATCACTCTGAATATTTCTTGCCACTCCCTTCTGGCCTGCAAAGTTTCTTTTGAGAAACCAGCTGACAGTCCAATGGGAACTCCCTTGTAGGTAACCAGCTGCTTTTTTCTTGCTGCTTTTAAGATTCCCTCTCTGTCTTGAACCTTTTGCATTTTGACGATGATGTGTCTTGGTGTGAGCCTCTCGGGGTTCATCTTGTTTGGGACTCTCTGTGCTTCCTGGACTTGTATGTCTGTTTCCTTCACCAAGTTAGGAAAGTTTTCTGCCATTATTGTTTCAAACAGGTTTTCGATTTCTTGTTCTCACTCTTCTCCTTCTGGCACCCCCAAGATGTGAATGTTGGCACGCTTCAAGTTGTCCCAGAGGCGCCTTACACTATCCTCATTTTTTTTAATTCTTTTTTCTTTTTGCTGTTCTGATTGGGTGTTTTTTGCTTCTTTATATTCCAAATCAATGGTTTGCTTCTTGGATTTACCTACTCTACTATTGAATCTGTGTAAATTATTCTTTATTTCAGTTAGTGCCTCCTTCATTTCTGACTGCTCTTGAGGCCCTCACTAAATTCACTGAGGTTCTCACTAAGTTCATTGAGCATCCTTATAAGCAGTGTTTTGAACTCAGTATCTGTTAGGTTGCTTATCTTCATTTCACTTAGTTCTTTTCCTGGAGTTTTGTTCTGTTCTTTCATTTGGGACCTGTTTCTTTGTCTCCTCATTTTGGCTGCCTCCCTGTGTTTGTTTCTATGTATACTTACCTATGTATGGGGCTAGCTGAGAACAGATGCTGCTTGTTTGAAAGAATTTAGGAAAACCTGAAGCAGGATCCAAGACAGGCCAATCCTATGGTCAAGCAACTGGCAACAGCTTGGGTGGGCCTGAAAGTTGGGTGGGGCGGGGCCTCAGGGAATCACCAGGGCAGGGCAAACAGTGTGAGCCAGGTTGCTGGAGTCCCAGATATGGGGGCTGTCTGCTAACCCAGGGAAGGGCTCACCAAAGGAACAAAGGCCTCTGACAGCACGGCTGTCCAGGTGAAAGCCCCCTCTCCAGCCCTCGTTCCAATGCCAAATAGCTCAGTTCTTCCCTGTATGTCTCTGGCGCCCCTCAAGCTGCTTCCCCTCTGAGCTTAGAGGGAGCAAGTTCGAGTAAGTCCGTGCGCGGGCTCTTTAAGAGGAGCTGCCTGGGGCTCCAGCCGCCTCAGCCTCCCTGAGCCTCAGTTCCCGCTGGTTTTTCCAGCCAGAAGTTATGGGGACTTCTGTTTCTGACACTGAAACCCTGAGCGGGGTGTCTGGTGTGGGACAGGGACCCCTCAGTCCTCAGGAATGACCTTCCCAGCCGAGGTACCCTCCTGATTTTTATTCGTCACACGTGGGTGTGGGACCAGCCTGTCGAGCCTCTGCCCCTCCTACCAGTCTCCATGTGGCTTCTTCTTTAATTCCGTAGTTGTAGGACTTCCATTTAGCTTGATTTCAGGCAGTTTTGAATGATGGATGTCCTGTAGTTTAGTTGTAACTTTGATGTGGTTGTGGGAGGACAGGACATTGCCTTTACCTACGCTGCCATCTTGACCGGAAATCCCTCTCATCGAGGTTTCTAACTCTCCCTCTTCCGTTCCTCTTTCTAAAATCAATAAAGAAAATAAATAAATCAATAAAGTGAGGCACCTACATGCAAGGGGCTGCCTCAGGCTGGCCTAGTATGCACACCCTCTGCCCCTGATAACAGCAATGAGTTGAATCAGGCCTCTGCTACCACACCTCCTCCCATAGCCCTGTATGATTGTTTAGACTCTTTCACACTGGTACTGATGTTGCTTTTATTGGCAAATATATACCAAAACAAAAATAAGCAAGGGTTTGTGTAGACAGAGGAAAGTGGATTCTGTGTCTCCAGAGCTCAGAAAAAAACTTGCTCTGAGATCCAGTGGTCAAATTGGCACCTGATCCTCCCTTCAGTGCATCTCAGCAATTATTATAAGGATGTTTGTCTCTTTCTCCCTAATAGGGCAGAAGCCACTCTCCTCCCCACACACCTTGCGTGGCCCTCAACTCATAGTTGCTGACTGACCCCAAGGCAGGACTGTACAGGAAGCAGTCATTTAGAGCTAGGGCTAGGTCTGGTACCCACCTCTCAGCTCCAGTTTCCACATGCAGCAGCCTCAGCTGGCCAGTCACCACCACAGTTTGGAGTTAGGGGTTTGGTCCTGGAAGGAAAGGCAACAACTACACAAAGAACCTTCGCAGAGCTGTCCTGTGGTGTTCCGTGCCTAGGCCAGGTGTTCCCACAGCTTAGGGCAGTGGTTCTGCTTTATCATCTCACTTCCCATGTCACAGGTGTAGAAACTGGTGCTGAGAGACATCAGCTTGCCTTACCAAACTTACACAAGCCTGCTGTTCAGATGGCGATTTAGAAGGACCCAGATTTGTGCCTAGACTTAAGTTCTTCATGTGTAATACAGAAATAAGGACATCACCTCTTAGGTATGAATGTTATATATGTGATTACCTGCTTATTGCCTGTTTTCCACTCCAACTGTGAACTCCAGTGGGTAGGGACTTTGGCTTATTCATGCTATACTGTCAGAACGAGTGCCTGGCACATAGTAGGTGCACCATACTTGTGTTATAGATGGAAATGACGTGAAATAAGCCCAGGCCGGACGCTGGACCTTCTATCTACAGGTACATTCTATAGCTTTACTTCCCGACTTCCTCTCCACCCAGGCAGCCACTGGCCGAAGGAAGCTGGGGCTGGGGCTGGGGCAATTACTGCTGGCCTTAGGGCAAGGTCAGCAAATCCTCAGGCGTTCGGAGGCCAGAACAGTCTCCGAGGAGCAGGCTGCAAGGCCATGACGGCTTCTCTCAGGTTCAAGTACTCGGTTCCCCTTTTCTTTTTTTTCTCGGCAGAGCACATCGCGGTGCTGCTTCCGAGGTTCCTGCAGAGAAGACCCTCGCTAAAACAGGCAGACTTCTGGGGAGCCAGCAGGGGAGGCGACGGAGCAGACGCCGAACCCGACCAGGCCGCGGAGTAAGAAGGCGCGGCTAGTATAGCAGGTCGGAGCCGAGGTGGCCGGGTCCCGCGCGGACGCGGATTGGACGTAAGGGGGCGTGGCGGAGATGGGCGGGGCCCGAGGGACGTAAGCAGGGCGTAAGGGGGCGGAGTGGGCGGTGCCCCCGGGCGGCTCCCGTGCTGTGGCTCCGGTGCTCCGGCTCCGTTCCACCTTAAGCGTCCGATTTCTTAAGCTTGGGCGCGGAGCCGGGAGCTCGGGGGCGGGACCTCCCATGCAAATGAGAGGCGTGGGCCGGTGGGGCGGGGCGGGCGGGGCGCTGGCCTGACGTCAGGCCGGCGGCCGGGGCAGTTGGCTCGGCGGCGGCAAAGCGGCAGGAGCGGAGGCGCGAGCGGGCCGCGCGGCGGGGCGCGGGGAGCGGCGGCGGCCGAGCCGGAGCAACATGGCGCCGGCAGGAGGGGGAGGGTGCCCCGGCGGCGGGCCCGCCCGAGGGCGCCTCCTCCTGGTGGTGCTGGTGCTGCCGGTGCTGCTGTGGGCGCGGGGTGTCAGGGGCCAGGAAGACCCCCAGCCGAGCATGATACTTGGCATGCGGCTGGTGAGCTGCAACAAATCGTGTGGGATGAAGTCAGATGGCATCATCTTTGTGTCTGAGGGTAGCACGGTGAACCTGAGGCTGTACGGCCACAGGCTGGACTCCATCGCCAGCAACCTGATCTCCTTCACGGAGGTGGACAAATCCGACGTCTTACACAACTCCACCCACTGTCCCGAGCTCACCAAGGACCTGGTCGTCCAGCAGCTGGTCAACGTGAGCCGCGGGAACACGTCCGGGATGCTGGTGGTGTTCACCAAGTTCCTCAGGAGGAGCGAGAACATGAAGCTGTACGCGCTGTGCACCAGGGCCAGCGCGAAGGGGCCTTGGCAGAGGTTGACCGATAAGGACTCGCTGCTCTTCATGATGGAGGAGGCAGAGAGGTTTCTGCCCCTCTGGCTGCACATAGCTATCATTTTGGTGCTGTTAGTGCTGTCGGGCATCTTCTCTGGTCTCAATCTGGGGCTGATGGCCCTGGACCCAATGGAACTGCGCATCGTACAGAACTGTGGCACCGAGAAGGAGAGACGCTATGCTCGCAAGATAGAGCCCATCCGCCGCAAGGGCAACTACCTGCTCTGCTCGCTGCTCCTGGGAAACGTACTGGTCAACACCTCCCTCACTATCCTTCTGGACAACCTCATCGGGTCCGGACTCATGGCCGTGGCCTCCTCCACCATCGGCATTGTCATCTTTGGGGAGATCTTACCTCAGGCCCTGTGCTCCAGACACGGACTGGCTGTGGGTGCCAACACGATCATTCTTACCAAATTTTTTATGCTACTCACCTTCCCCCTCAGTTTCCCCATCAGCAAGCTCCTGGACTTTTTTCTGGGCCAGGAGATTCACACTGTTTACAATCGGGAGAAGCTGATGGAGATGTTGAAAGTGACAGAGCCCTATAATGACCTTGTGAAAGAGGAACTAAATATGATTCAGGGGGCCCTGGAATTAAGGACTAAAACTGTGGAGGACATTATGACCCAGCTCCATGACTGCTTCATGATCCGCAATGATGCCATCCTGGACTTCAACACGATGTCCGAGATCATGGAGAGTGGCTATACCCGCATCCCTGTGTTTGAAGATGAGCAATCCAATATTGTAGATATTCTCTATGTCAAAGATTTGGCCTTCGTGGACCCCGATGACTGCACCCCCCTCAAGACCATCACCCGCTTCTACAACCACCCCGTGCACTTTGTCTTCCATGACACAAAGCTGGATGCCATGCTGGAGGAGTTCAAGAAAGGTAAGGCCTGAGCCGCTCTCTTGGCTAACTTGGGTCACACCTCTCTGGCCTGTTTTGCATCTACTGATTCTAGTGTTCCTTTCATGGGACTGTGTCCCTTTGCCCATTTCACTTTCTAGGCCTCTGAGATGAACAGTATTTGGGGCAGCAAAAACAGTTATTAAGCATCTGCTGTCTGCCAGGTCCTGTGTTTTGCGTCAGCTGAATCAAAGCTAAGCAAGCCACTTGTCCACATCGAGGATGAAGCAAGACCTCAGAGAGCTCTTGAAGCAGGATAGATGAAGGCAGTTACCTTAAGGAGACCAGCACCAGGGCACAGAGATTAGATTGGGAACACAAGTCTGATTGGGGTGGGGTGGATGGGGAAGGGGCTGGGGAACGGGAAAAACCTTCACAGGGGAGGAAGTGTTTGAGGAGAGCTTTAAAAGGTGGAGAGACTTGGTGCTTGAGGTAGAGAGAATTCCAGGAGCAGAGAACCCAGAGTGGGGAAAAAAGGATGAGTAGGGAAAAAAAGGATATACTTGTGGCCCAGTAGGTGGTCCTATTCAGGGGGTATATAGGCTCTGCTGGTGAGTGGTTTGTGGGGGAGAGGTTGAGGCATTAAGGGGAAGAGCTTGAAGGTCAGGGTGGTAAATTTGCCAGGAGCTGGGAGCCCTGAAAGGTTTGTGAGCAGGGGAGTGACATCACTGGAGCTCCTAGCCCACAGAAGCTGATTGGGAGTTTAGAACAGTGCCAAGTAATGCTTTGACTCTTCAGCAGAAGCAAGCAGGTTAAGTTTTGGTTATTGTTCTGCCTTTGCCAGACGTCAAACATAAGCTTCCCTCCTGTGGTTTGCTGGAATCTTCAGCTGGCCTTGCATCCCCTGTGTTTTTTTCTCACATGGGTTCTTGACCTGTTCTCATGTCGTCAGAGAGGCATTTGGAGAGTTTAATCACCAGCCTCAAAGCTCAGGACGCACTCCCCTTTCCTTTCAGCAAACTTTCCTCCCACCTCTGCCACTCCAAGCCCTCAAAATGGCAGTAAACAAGCCAATTATGGAGTAAAACCCTCCTGGGCCACTAGGAATGAGGAGGCAGAAAGGGAAGCTCTTTGTGAAGGAACGGAGGAGGGGAGGAGCTCATCCTAAACCCGGGACTTTGCTTGTTTCCCATAGATAGGGCTCCTGCTGGCTAAGCTCCCAGGCCACCTAGGGCCAGAAGCAACTTCTGAGCCCTAGCTGGAAGCAAGCCCCAGACCCTTGTCAGTTGTTTCTGGAACAGGGTGCAGGGGAGCCTAGAACTGGCTGGATCGGTGGGATAGCGAGGAGCTGGCCTAGCCAGGTTCGGTCTGAAAAGATGCTCGGGTCACTGCATTAGGGATTGATACCCAGTCTTTTCCAATTAGACAGACTGCATTTCAGCACCGGAGCTAAGGAAGACTTGACTAATGTAAGCCCCAGTGGAGACTGTGGGGGGGGGGGGGCAGGGGGGCCTTGAGGGATGGAGGTGGTCTGGTGGTGATGGCACCGCCTCCCTGGAGTTTTGGAGTGCAGCCCCTGGAACCTGTTTCTTCCAGGTACCTGAGCTTGGGGCAGAAGAGCAGTGAGGCTCTGTGCTCTACACCCACCCCACGGCCTCTGGGCCCTGAGGACTTCTGCTATGTCCTTGAGATCAGGAACCTGGTTAGAACGCACCAGGGAGGCTTGCTCCTGACCACCCCTATGATCTTTGGGACTGTTGCTTGTGACCCACCCAACAATCATGTTTACATGGATGTAGCCAGAATGGATGGGCTTGGTCAGGCTTTCCAGCCCTTGATCAGTAGGGCTAAGCTTTCACAAGGTGTGAGCTTCCTGAGTCTTGGCAGGGCCATCTTTGAACTCTTAAAAAAAAAAATCCACTTCACCTCTCTCAGGCCTAAGCTCTACTGAGTAGAACTCTCCAGATGCCAGCTCTCCGTAACAGAAAGGTGTTGATAGTTCCATGGAAACGCAGGCGCGGTCTGCCCAGTGCAGCACGAAGCCCTGAAGATATGAATGTGGAGATGACAGGAAGGTCACTCCAGTGAACACACCCTGGGCTTGGGCTTGCTTCACATTGTCACCTCCCAGTTTCCAGTCTTAACTCACTGCCGTGCTACCTGCCCCACCCCCCAGCCCCAGTATGGCCTCTTCCAGATCTTTCCATCTGGAATCTACCTTTTTAGTCTGAGGCCATCTAGCTAGAACATGGTAGACATTAGAGCACACCTGCAACCTAAGAGATTTTCTTTACAAATCTGGAAGGCTTCTTTTTTAGCTAAGAAAAACAAGTGAGCTGGGGCACCTGTGCTTCAGTGGACCTTTCAGCACCTCTATGTTGGCTAAACCCCTGAGTTCTACCTGAGTCTTCTAAGGTTATTCTGACTCCTCCTTGCTCCCCAGAATTATAAGCTCCTTAAGGGTAGGGATTCTGTCCTATTAGTGTTTTCACCACTCAGTGCCTGGCAAAGAGAGGAACAGTAAATGCTTGTTACACAATGAATGAATGAACAAATGAACAAACAACAAATGGATGGATGACTGTCTGGCAAGCTCTACTGGCATTCTTGCAGTTCCTGGAACATACCATGATGCTCCCAGCCTGGGGCCTTTGCCCTGGCTATTCTTTTTAGCTGGAATATTCTTCCCCAGATGCCTCACTGTCTCCCCACCCTCATGTCTGCTTCAACTTCACCTTCTTGGTGAGGCCTTCCTGTCACCCTGTTCAAAACTGTAACCCTCATCCTACCCTGACCTTCCTGATCTCTCCACCCTATGCTGATTTTTCTTTTTTTTTCATAGCACATATGACTTTCTAACAGCTGTGTAATTTATGAGTGTACCATGTTGTTTATTGTCATCTCCTCCCATTATAATAGAAGTTCCAAAGGACAGGGCACTCTGTTTTGCTCACCGTTGTGTCTCTAACCCCTGGCACAGAGCAGACGTCAATAAAAAGTCACTGAATGAATGAATGACTTGTCAGGATTGAGAGAGTTATCCCATTTCAGTAGTGTTAGGGTTTTGAGGGGCTGATAAAGGATAAAGAAAAATGGGTGCTTGACTTTCCCAGCTGCACCAATAAAGACAGGAGGAGCTCCTGCAATGACATGTGTATTCATGGTTTGGGTCAGGGATTGAGAAGCAAAGTTTGGGGTCTTGAGTGTAAAGCATGGCTCCTCTTCCCTATGCCTCAGTTTCTCTGTAAGTGTAATTTACATAGCTTCCTACATTAATATTAATAAATCACGAATATGCTCCTGCATACTGAGAGACAGACGTAGGAGCTGGGCTTCCCCTAGACTAAGGAAAGGGGCTTCCAGCTGCTTCTGCCTCTCAACTCAAGGCAGTTATCATTAGATCTTTATTGAACCCCCACTATGTGCCAGACACAGTGCTAGGTGCTGCAGAGCCTCAGGAGAAAGAGCCTCTAGTTGGTGAGAGCTGTTCGAGCACTGGCGGTGCCATTTGAACTTTGGCCTTTCCACTTAAACCTCACCTAGAGCTATTTGCAGTACCGGTGTTGTGGTTGAGTTTGTCTATAGCTGGAGATCTTAGAAAAAAAGCTCCTTGGCTCTTTCCTGGCCCATCTGCATTTTTCCTGCCCGCAGATGCTTTTCTAGGCCCTGATGGAAAGCATGAATGAACTCCCCACGACATTCCTGCTCTTCCGAGGCACTCAGCTCCTCTTTAGTCATCCTGTCTTTCCCCACCCACTTTATAACCTTCTAGCCCTCTCTAAAGAGCTGCATTTAAACTTCATCCAGCTCAGTCCTAATTCATGAGGTGACCTTGGAACTGTTAGGCTCCTCATAGAAATTTCATGGGATATATATTGGAGGAAAATAACTGGAATATTTTTATTAAATTCCTGCCATATTTCCATGTATGCCACATAATATTTCCCCCACCTACTTTCTTTTATTCCTGAAACAACTTTATGAAGTCAAAAAGAAGCACTGCGTAATTTTGCATTTGCTTTTTGGTTTCTACCATCTGCCACACTTTTTATTTTTTATTTATTTTTATCCTCACCTGAGGACATTTTTTGATATTTTGTTCAGATAGAGTGGGAGGGAGAGAGAGAGAGAGAAACATCGACATGAAAAAAAATCGACGTGAAAGGAACATATCAAGTGGTTGCCACTCACACGACCCAACCATGGCACCGAGGTACGTGCCCTTAGCGGGAACCGAACCCGGGTCTCTCCAGACTTCAGGCCAACACTCTAACTGTTGAGCCAAACCGGCCAGGGCTGCCACACTTTTTTTTTTTTTTTTTTTATCGTCACCCGAGGACACTTTTCCATTTTTTGTTCAGCTAGAGTGGGAGGGAAAGAGAGAGAGAGAAACATCGACGTGAAAGGGACACATCGAGTGGCTGCCACCCGCACAACCAACCGGGGCCAGGGACTAACCGCAACCGAGATACGTGCCCTTAGCGGGAACCAAACCCGGGTCTCTCCAGACTGCAGGCCAACGCTCTAACCGCTGAGCCAAATCGGCCAGGGCCACACTTTTTATATCTTACCCCTCTTCCCCCCTACTACCAGGGAAACAGACATGTAAACAGAGTTTAGCTGTACACAGCCAAAGTTGGTATAGTGGGGCCAAGGAAGGCTCAGCCTGCACCTGGGAGGTGCTTCCGAAGTCCAGACAATAGGACTGATTCTCACAGAGATGTCAGGACCGGCAGGTGGTTGTGAACAGCTGAAGGTTCTGGTCGGGTTCAGATGGACAGTGTTGCCATGTAGCATAAGTGGAGAGAGGAGGGAGCAGAGCCGGTTTGGTAAAGGTGGGGGAAGGGTGTGGTGGTAAATCATAATGGTGTGACCCTTTGTTGGGCATCTCAGTGTCCAGCCTCCTGCACACCAGAGCTTCTCACACTAAACATGGGCCCAGACCGCCTGGACGTTTTGTTAAAATGTAGATTTCAGTTCAGTGGGTCTGGGTGTGGCCTGAGAGGCTGCATGTCTGACAAGCTCCTAGATGATGCCTACAC